TGCAATCTTGGTGATCTCAACTTCTCCTCTTGCCACAATATCTCTGATAAGGTGGTATTTGCGCTCTATGTGTTTGCTTGCTCTGTGGGCTCGTGGTTCCCTTAAGTTTGTTACTGCACCACTGTTATCACAGTACACGGTAATAACACGTGGCAAACTCGGAATCACTTCTAAGTCCACCAAGAAGTTTCTGAGCCAAACTGTCTCTTTCGCTGCCTCAGAGGCTGCGATGTACTCGGCTTCCATAGTGGAGTCTGCTACGCACTTTTGCTTAGCACTCCTCCATGAAATGGCTCCACCTCCCAAGGTAAACACATAACCTGAGGTTGACTTACTCTCGTCCCTATCTGACTGAAAATCAGAATCGTTGTAACGCAGCGGAAACAAACTGTCTGCCCGGTAAACTAACATGTACTCCTTAGTCCTTCGCAGGTACTTGAGTATATGTTTCACTGCAGCCCAATGTTCCCTTCCTGGATTACTCTGATATCTCGCTACCATGCCAACGGCGTAGCTAATATCAGGCCTAGTGCACAGCATTGCATACATGAGACTTCCTACTGCCGAAGCATAAGGAACTGTCTTCATGTCCTCTATCTCCTTAGTCGTCTTAGGAGACAACTCCTTAGGTAAGGGTACTCCATGTCTGAAAGGTAATGTACCTCTCTTAGAGTTCTGCATACTGAATCTGGCCAAGACAGTATCTATATATGAAGACTGGGATAAGCACATCATTCTTTTCTCACGATCACGAATGATCTTGATACCAAGAATGTGTCCTGCTTCACCCAAGTCCTTCATATCAAACTGCTTAGACAACCACGCCTTTACGCCTGACAACTCCTTCTGGTTGTTGCCAATAAGAAGTATGTCATCCACGTATAGCACAAGAAACACCACCACGCTTCCACTAATCTTCTTGTATACACAGTGCTCATCCGGACATTGAGTAAATCCATATGACTGGATTACCTCATCAAACCGAATATTCCAAGACCTTGAGGCTTGCTTCAGTCCATAAATGGACCGATTAAGCTTACAAACTAACGGCTCATGCCCTTTTGCAATGAATCCTTCTGGTTGCTGCATATAGATGTCTTCCTGAAGGTTCTCATTAAGGAAAGTCGTCTTAACATCCATCTGCCACACTTCATAATCCATATGAGTGGCTACAGCTAAGAGAATCCGAATGGATTTAAGCATAGCTACTGGCGAAAAGGTCTCATCATAATCGATACCCTCTTTCTGGGTATAACCTTTCGCAACAAGCCTAGCTTTAAAGGTTTCCACCTTTCCATCCGATCCCCTCTTTCTCTTGTAAACCCACTTGCATCCAATGGGACGTATCCCATCGGGTGGTTCTACAAGATCCCAGACCTGATTGGTGTCCATAGACCCCATCTCATCTTTCATTCCAACTTTCCACGAATTTGCATCTCTATCTTGGAGTGCCTCGTCATAAGTTCTTGGGTCCGATTCTAGGTCTCCTGGAACTGAGTCCGATGACTCTCCAAGACCTATCCATCGATCGGGTTGTGTAGAAACCCTCCCACTACGACGAGGTACCATATGTACTGGCACACTAACAGTGTTACGTGTTGCAGTACTATGTGATGTATCTACTTGCGCACTCGGTGGGGAACTATCGATATTTCTCCCTAACATCTCTAGGACAAGTTTACTACTGGGCTTATGATCTATGATAGAGTCTTCTTCGAAGAATCTAGCGTTCGTACTAACGATCACCTTTTGATCCTCAAGACTATAAAATAAACCACCTTTCGTTTCCTTGGAATAGCCGACAAATAGTCTCACTTCTGATCGTTTCTCCAACTTGCCAGCCTCCTGCACTAAGACATGTGCAGGGCAACCCCTAATTCGAATTTGTGAGAAACTAGGCTTGCGCCCTTTCCACAACTCATAAGGAGTACTGTCTACTGACTTTGAAGAGACAGAATTCAGAATGTAACATGCTGTCTCTATTGCAAATCCCCAAAACGAATCTGGTAACTTCGAATAACTCATCATCGACCTAACCATTTCCATAAGAGTTCTGTTTCTTCGCTCTGCAACCCCGTTCTGTTGGGGCGTGCCGGGTGCAGTCAGCTGGGATTCAATCCCTGCTTCTGATAGGTATGTCCTAAACTCTCCAAAAAGGTATTCGTCTCCTCGATCAGATCGAAGACACTTGATACTTTTACCTTGTTGTTTCTCCACAACTGTCCTATACTCCTTGAATTTCTCAAAGCATTCGGACTTGCGGTACAACAAGTAAATGTACCCATATTTAGAATAATTATCAATAAAAGTGACGAAATACTCATAGCCTCCTCTAGCTTGGATCGACAAAGGACCACATAAATCAGAATGAATCAATCCTAGCACTTCTTGGCTCCTTCGCCCCT